CATGTACACACACACACATATATGCATGCGTACCTGTATCTAGTTTTAAATTTAGATATGCTAACCCCCTCACGTACCCACGCTTTGTGCTTGCATAGCGTGCGATAGTCGCTATGCCCATTTCCAGTTCCAGTCTTCTAAACCATTAATATGTTGTTCTATGGCCAATTTATCGTATCAGGTGTAGTTTCACTAGTACATCTGCCAATGTTCCCACTGCGATTGCCCCTGTTGCTGCGGTTATAGTCACCGTTCTTGGTACGCCTGCAGCACCAACCCAGGCAACACTCCGTGCTTCCGTTTTCCTGGACATTTTCTGCACACATTACTCCGGGGGACTGGTCCGACCTACAGAGAATTGACCCGATCCTCACAACCCACGCCGTCCTAAAGCTGAGATTTAGAAGAATCATGTGTGTGTGTGTACATATATATATATACACATATATATATATACACATTCATTTTAGGTATGTATGTATGTATGTATGTATGTATGTATGCGTATGTATACACACCCACACACAAATTAATACATATATATATATAAAAGATATACATATACATATATATATATACATATTTATTTATTTATGTATGTGTTTATTTGAATGTAGAGATACTCTCCCAACGTAAGGTCGCGGTGCACATTTACAATCAAGTCTTAGTTCGCGTTGAAGTTGGAGAATTCACGGAAACTTAAGCTGCAGAGCTTCGTGTTCAGCTGCTTTCCAGGGCTGAGGGTGGGTCAGTATGCCAAGGGCCACTTCTTCACAACACAACACGACTTGCAAAGCACGGTTCAGAGATTCAGCTTGACCCTGCTGGTATGCACTTCTTTTCGAAGGCCAAAAGTACAACCAGATGGTCGACATGTGGGCCTTTGGCGTCCTGATGTACCTGCTCATGTACGGCCACTATCCGCAACTCGGGCGAATCATTGCAGTTGCCGTCTTTCAAGTTGATGTCCTGCCCGGGGTGAAGACGGAGGAGGGGACGGTTTCATTTGGTAAGCTTGCCTCAGCAGCACAACGTCCTGCAACCTCCTTGATGGGATCGCGCCGCTGCGCGCGATTTTGAGCTCTTTGCTGCCCTTGGGGCTTTAGGGTCTTGGAGCGGTGGGTACAGATTAAACGCTTGCTTTCTCTCCAAGGGCTCCTCACCTCCTGGGACACCCTGTGCGAATTTCGTGGGCAGGTACGACTCCAAAAACACGCGGGACATCATGATGAAGGCCGGCTTTTGTAGCCCTTGACGCACCTAGCAGGCTCGCACACTTCATGGGCCCCACCGGAGCAGATCCTCCGAAGCCCGAGCCCTCCAAACCGGGACCCGAAGCTATGGGAAAAGAGGTTTTGACCTGCACCGCAGCCATGAGGAGAAGCTGCGCTTGTTGTGCTTCCCATGAGAAAGGGGGGGGGGCCTTTGAACATAAGCCCGGGGTCTTCTTGCGGGCTTCGGGCTTAAGCGTTCAGGTGGAGGTTCTGGGTCTTCTGCGATGAGGCTTTGTATCCTACTCAACGGTCCTGCCGCGACGTGGGCCACCTTGTGGAACCTAGAAGAGTGTCACCCTATGCCCGAGCACCAATCCCTAAAGTCCTGGGTTGCGTCTGTTGTGGTCGATCTCCACAGATCAAGGTTGTTTCACTTCAGTCAGACGCCTCGCCTGGAGTGTTCCAGTGTGAGCACCGAAAGTCCTTGCACTGAAGATAAGCTGTTGCTGGCACCCCAACTAGGCTGCCGGGTTGTTCCGGAGCCACAAGGCCCCAGATCATTGGGATCGCGGATGCCTGCAGCCGGGATTGCTCTACTGGTCAGACTAACCCTTTCAACTAGCTACAGTACTTAATGCTGCAGATTGTAGCGACATATACAATACTACACCATGCTTTTCCAGACACGAGACATGTAAGACATTATGCTACGACATGACATGTAATGTTGTACAATACAACCCAATGTATAATTAATTAATATATATATATATATAGAGAGAGAGAGAGAGAGATAGAGATAGAGATAGAGATAGAGATAGATATAGCATTCAAAGTCTGAGTCCGCAAAGTTCTGAGAACCGAGACAGAAACTGAGTACACTCAACCCGTGTGCAACCCGTTGTCCAGAGCCCTCAGCCAAAATCCCCCTAGAGCCCGTAGAATCTCTTTTCCTCTGAAACCCGGGGAGGTTTTGACCGAACCCATCCGGTGGCAGACGAAGGCTAAGCTCTCGCAGCAGACGCACTTGGCCCGAAGATGTGGGAGTTGTAAAGGTGTACATATAGGGGTTCGGGGGCTTGGGGTTTATGGTTTAGGTCTTCGCTGTGGCCGCGGTTTCTTCAAGAGTTTCGAGGTTCTGCAGCTTTCGACCAGGGTCTGGGGTTAAGACGTGACGCAATGTTAGACGAAAGTGCCATGGAGGGACCCAGGGTTTAAAGTAGGGCTTCGAGGGCCTAGCGTGTTCATTCAAAGCATGCCAGGGGCGAGGTAGGGTCTTCTGGGCTAAGGCTCCGGGTCAGACTACTCGTACTCTATAGGCGAAGGCTTCGAGCCTAGGAAAGGCTGGCGTCCGATGCGGAGAAATGGAAGCCAAGAGCCATCTTGCAGCGTTCAGGGTTTAGGGGAAGCAGGAGAGCTGCACAACCGCTTGAAGTCAAAAGCAGGAGCTCCTGCAGCAAGCTTGCTTCAGAAACCTCTCGAGTCAAAGACAGGTGAGAAGTGCTACGACTGCCACGAATGAAAACCTCTAGCAACATCGAACGGAAGCTTGTTTAAGGCCCTATGCCACTCCGACAGCGAGTGCCCACACCCCCCCTTAAAGCTTCCAAAATCGAAGGTTGGGCTTCCTCAAGCGCTGCTTAGAGCCGTCGGTGAGAAAGCGCATGACCGCCGAGGCTCGCGGCAGGGTTAAAGTGCTGCGATTCTTGCGCCTATCTTCACGTGCGTACCGTACCAGGAAACTGCAAGGCATCGGTTCGTAGGTTTTCAACAAGTCTTGCCGCACGACATGTTGGAGCAGAGTGAAGGACATTCGGCGTGCATGGGAAGGCATCAGGCTTTTCCCAGGAAAGTCCATTAGACCACTCTGGGCTGCCGGCATACTCCAACCCCTGAAACGCCACCCCGTCATAGACTACACAGGAGTGAGAACAGGAGCTGTTGGCTTCTTTCGTCGTAAGTCCCAACCAGTTTTCCGCTAGCCGCGATTCCAACTTTCTCATGCAGGAGTGTCCCATTATGCCTTTGTCCCACTTGCGGAGACACATCTTGCACAACGCACAGTGTCTCACAAGGGTCCAGTGAAGGCTGCACACTTAAGTCTCTGATTCTCCTAAACACCAAAACCTTAAAACGAAAAAAAGCTGTTCGAGCCCTAAACTAGATCTCCGAGAACTGCAGACTTCCTGCTTGGCGGGTTTTTTGCAAACTGGGGTTCAAGGCCTGGAGTTTTTCTCCACCAAAATCTAAGGTCCTAAGCTCCAAACCTTGAGTAACCCTTCCTCCAAGTTTGGCGTTTCTGGGCTTTGCAGAGCATAATAGGGCCATTAAACTAACCTGGGTGAAGTAGCAAAAAACCCCTGGCAAACCTCAAGCTTGAAGCTTGGTAAAAGGACGGCCTCAAGCACCCTTGGATCGTGGGGGCAGCGGCTCCTGACCCAGATCCTTGGCATGGAATGTTCAATCACCTTCTTTTCAATGTGGGGGGTTGGGGGGTTTAGGTCGATGCTCAGACATTGAGGCGATAGCACAAGGCCTGATGCAACAAACGATTTTTAAATGCCATCTTTGTTACCAACTGCTGGTGTCCAGTCAAGCTGCTGATGGTTGTTTTGTCCTTTTGAGGAAGTACATCACTCACGACTGGCTATGGATAGTGTGTGTGTGTGTCTGTGTCTGTGTCTGTGCGTGCGTCCGTGCGTGCGCGCCACGAGTTGTTTTAACGAGGTATGGTGGGAGTGAAGTCATGAGAGCTGAACCTCCAAAAATATGCGCAGACCTTCAGGTGATTGTAAAAGTCCTGATACAAAAAAGTGTCGTTGCAAAGGGGTTGTTGATCTTTTTGTCCATGCCTCTTTGTATTTGTGCGTCTTTGCATGTACATTCGCACATGCACGACGGCGTATGTATGAAGAGGCAGGAAAAACTCGAAACTCGCCGTTGTGAAAAGTGCATGTTGGAGCACCGATATATGCTACAGAAATGCCACTGCGCACTCTTGGCACGCAGTGTGCTTACCGCAATTAGTGTGATGAAGGGCTTCCTATGTACAAGACTCGCCCAGGAGCTGGAGCGAGAGGTGTCGACCAAAAACGAGGCCACCGTTCTTTTCGGGTTTGGAGTCTAGAGTCTAAACCCTAAACCCAACACCCTAAACCAAAACTGCTGCTCAGACGATTTGCATACGCTTTCCGTCGAGCGTGTCGACGTGCACGTGCTTTCCAGCAGCGTCTCTATAGGATGTGTTGAGGGTCGTAGGGGAGCTTTTTCTCGATTTGGATATCTGTCCATCCACTCCCGCGTCTTCAGATGCTGGAGCAGGCTCTAGGTTTTCAGCTATCTTGGGTGTTCAACGTGCCCGCCGGCTTCGGTAGCAGCGTTAAGCTTTCTTGGTTGAGGATGTACGTACTGCATCACGCACCCTGTTGCCGAACTTGTCACCTGAGGATGTTGAGGACTTGAACGAGTTTGTGCGTGCCCAGACTGCATTGGGAAGCAGGGCAGTGCTGCCCCGGAACTTTGTTAAAGTTGGGGGACCCTAAGCTGACGGCTCGGGGTCCCAGTAGGTAGTATTATCGTCGTTCCTGTAAGTCGTCATAGACCCCTGAGTGTATTACTGGTGCTCCAGTTCATATCATGATACATGTCAGAATAAACTCTGACTTCCTTCCGGGAGCAGACTTCTCGGTGTGAGCTTCGGAGAGTCCTGGCATTTTTGGTCATTCTCCTGAACTCTACACTCGTGGAGATTTTGTATACAGCTACACTTGAGGCTCCGCAACACGGGCTCCCCAGACACGAGGTCGCAGACATCGAGCAGGCGGATGTAAAGAACACTAAACAACGCCATTGAAGTTGAACCCTAAACAGTCAGAGTTTAGGGTGTAATGTGTAATGTTTAGGTTACCGTGGTCGCCTCACGCCTTGCGACTCAGGTAGTGCGCATCGCAAAGTCACATCGTCCCGGAAGCAGGTGGATCAAGAGGCTGCGATGGTTCCTGTTAGTGTTGATGCTTCGAAGTGTTTCTGGCATTGCATGCGTATATGCGTCCAGGCGTGCGTGATCGTCCTGCTACGTATACGCTTGTAAACTGCCCAGCTACGCTCGATGGCCTCGAGTAGCAGCCCCAGCAGGCCGAAAGAGAACAATCTCCTGCAACGTGGTTTCCCCCCTCACCACTGTTTCGGCTCTCTCGAGCGACGACTCAGTGAGTGTTCTAGGCCGCTGCCTTCCCTTGAGAGACTACCTAGCCGAGTCGGTAAGCTGCAGCTGCCAGGTCTTTGGCTTTCGGGTCATGCTTTTAGTGTCAGTCGGGTCAATATCCTCTCGCTGTTTGCTTCGGCTAAATGTGCATGATTGATGATATCTTCGTTGGACAAGAGAGATGCGACAGCAGGATGTTTCTGACAAAACGCACGCACGGTCTGCGTATGTTCCTTCTTCCTTCCCTGCGCCATGGACCATAGAAGGGCAACACGATTCTGTTGCACATGCTACGACTATAGGAGTCAATTACGCGGCCACTAGGCGAACGCAGAGACTTGCTGCGCAAACACGCCTGCTGCAGCTTTTGCAAGAGCAGGGGCATGTCAGGCGGAAACTCGTCGTACGGAGATGCTCGAGAAGATCAACAAGGATTTCGAGAAGGGGATTCGCTGCCTGACTCAAAAGAGAGGGAAGTCCTGAATCCGGGTGAGCCCAAAAGGAGCTGTGAAGGGACGCCTGGCAAGCAGCACACTTGTGCGATTCGTAAGGCCTGGGGAATCGGCTTGGCGAAACGCCACAGGAGGACCCGAATGCTTGAGATGCTGTCACGGAGCTCGCATCAGATTTTCCTACACTCGAAGTCTAAGTCGTGTTTGTGTTCCCGACTGTCCTCAATGTTTAAAAGTTCACGGTGTCAGCTTCGCTTAGGAAGACAAGGGCAATTCTGATCGTCAACCTGCCACGGTGGCCAGGACTTTATGTCAAGGCCAGAGTTTGTACGACGCGACAACCGGCTAACCACTGCCCCGTCCAAAGCTGCCGTTGCCTCAGAGAGAGGGAAACCCATGGGGCATGTCCGGAGCCTTGTTCACTGCCGGCTCTTGGAGTTTCTACTGATGGACATGCCAAGCCAGGTGTCGGAATCCAAGACAAAGGCCGCCACACCTGCGGCCCTCTCCTCAGACTGCAGTCCCCCCCCTTGTGTGTCCTGCGCAGATGTCATCAGGATAGAGCTCCGACACTCGACACGCAGTGACATTTAGTGTTTAGGGTGCTTCTTCCCAGCTGATTGGCAGAGTCTGGGTTCAAAAAGGGGTTCTTAGGAGGGGAATGGTGGATAATTATATAAGTTAGGGGCTCATTTAATGACTAGAACAGTAGAGGGAGGCTTAAACTGATTGTCACACCAACTGCGCCTGGCAGACCTCGCCTGGGTTGTCCAAGTTGTGAGAGCGCAATGATAAGAACGAGGTTCCTTTTCAGGGTTCCTTAAAAAGTGGTATATAAGGGTTGTTTAATAAATGTTGCGGGGGTTGAATATAGAGTCTTTCATACTTTGACTAGGGTTCTCTTCTCCTCTTGTAGGGTATCTGTAAGGGCTTTGTAGAGCTCTATTGGGTTTTATCACAGGGGCCTTGGAAATTAGAACAAGGCTTTGGGGTAGCTGTGATTAGGAGCCCTATGAGCGCGTCTAGATAATTGTTCAGGCATCCAGATCAGTGCATGAAATAGAGAGTCTTGTGGTAAGAGTGCATGGTCTAGGGCTTCTGTGGTTTACCCATAGGCGCCTAAGCAGTTCCTTTTTTGGGATTACCTTGTAGGATTCTAAATATAAGCCACAAAAAGGAACTACTTAGGGGCCTATGGGCATTGGTGTATCGTGGGTTCAACTTGCTCAGCAAAGTGCAGGCGGCACGCCGGGATGCATTCTGATTCGTTACCTCCTCCCAAGCGGTGAAGCGTATCTTTGTGAGGGAACGAGCTGCCTTAAGCGCTACAACCCCTCCTGCCAAATCTCCCACGCAAGCTTTAAAATGGAACTAAGACTTTAAGCCTTACACCATCATCCCCACTGCCTTGTGCGAGTGAGATAGTCGAAATACCCAAGCAAAGGCGCCCGCAACCCTAATCCCCCAAAGCCCTAAGCTAAACTCTAAACCCAGCAGTCCTTAGATCATAACCGCTACAGGACGGTCGTGAGACCCGCGGAGGTGCCTTGAAAGGGTCTTCCATTGGGGGATCTTGTTGGGAGTCTTTCTTCATTGTGGTTTAGGGATTCTTCCTTGTTCGGCTTAGGTGCGGCTATAGCTATGATTGAGCGTGCCGTTCCTTGTTTCAATTTTGTGAGCGTTAGTTACTCTTGTTGTCAGTGTCGTTGTTGCCAGTAGAGGCATGTCGATTTCCGGACTTTGCGTTCATTCTCCACCCGTAGAAGACATCGCCAATATCCGGTGCTCTCGATGTCATACTTCATTAGCCTTATTGCCTTATTGCCCTGATTGTTGTTTCGGGGTTACCAGCCACCTTCGAGCAACCGTAGCTAGCGATGGTTCTTGGGTTCCGCGTGTTCCAGTCACATCGAAACTCAGATTACATGCTGGCATGAGCAGCCTTGTGGTTCTTTGGCGGGACAGGGCTGATGTTACTGTTTGGTCTGCGTTCATCAGGTTGTTCTACTATGTGTTATCCGCTATGGGTGTCATCAAGATCTTAGGGCCTGCAAGCACGTTAGCAAATCAAAGCCGTCCTAAAACCTAAAGTCTAAATTAACACCAAAACGGACTGATCAAAGCAACAACTCAACAAAACTACCCCTGAACTTGGAGGGGTCCCTTAAATCACAAGAACACCCAACCCCGAAAGTTTCAGAAGCAGCGCAGAGAAGCGTCGTCCGGGGCATGAGCATCCAAGCCTCAACCCTCAAGCCCTTAAGCAACCCTGCAACGCGGGCGTGGGAGGCAAAAAACAATTTTAAAAGCAACAAAAGCTAGCACCGCAAACCTTTGAGTTCTGTCGGCTTAGGGATATCGGAAAGCTGCGAAGACCATTTGTGATCTGGTCGGGCCGCAGGGCACGCATAAGCATTGCCAAGCGGGCTTTCTTAGCTAGACCAAGGTTTATGTGCGGGGGTATGTTGGTTTTACTACAAAGATGGATGCACTTTTATCGAGTAGTAATAATATGACTCATGACTGGTTTTATCAACTAAGTGGTAGTAGTCGTCGTCGTAGTAGCAGCAGCAGCAGTAGCAGTGCAGTAGTAGTAGAAGAAGCAGTAGCAGTGCGTAGAAGAAGAAGTAGAAGAAGCAGAAGAAGAAAAAGTAGTAGTAGTCGTCGTCGTCGTAGTAGTAGTCGTTGTAGTAGTAGTAGTAGTAGTAGCAGTAGCAGCAGCAGCAGCAGTAGTAGTAGTCCTTTAGTAGCGTGGTCTTTGAATGATATCTGGGAAATATTGTGCCTATCCTAGATGTTCATCGGTTTGTTTTATGATCAAGATAATGGGTTTGGGAGAGTGCAAACCCGAACAGCAACTCTCAAACCCTAAACCCCAAATCCTACACCCTAAACCCTATTCGTTTGGGCCCACTCGAAGCCTCCCTTCTGGGAACCTTCAGCTCTTCTGCAGAGCTGGGAATCTTGGGGGCGGGGCCCGGACTACATTCCACCGTTCAGCTTTTTTCTGACGTTGAATCGCCCGACAGCGTTCTTTTCAGACTTCTGTGCCTGAAATAGAAACAGTGCTTGCCCACGCTACTGTAACATCGAAAATTAGCAGCTCGCGAAATTTAATACATGCATGCATGCATGTAGGTAGGTAGGTACCCGCTATTTAATGCCAACAATAGACCTACGGAGTGCATAATTAGTACGAACGACATGTAGAGCATGCAACATCCGGCACGTGACTTAAAATCTCCAGTGTATGAACTGAGAGATATTACATGGATCTTATGGACTGCTGGTATGCCCAGTGACATCGCCGGCTTCATCGGATACACCCTCTGCCCCGACTGCAGAGTGGCTTTGGGACTCTGCAGCTGCTCTGGCCAGCAGATCAGTGGGCTCGCTTTGGTACTTTCGCCGATTCACGTCCGCATATCCTCTGGGAGCACACATCGGCTTTCGTGACCGTATCTAATGCTTCGTCGTTTTGACTCTGCGCTGCAATTGTCGGGCGGTCCTGAGAAAGACTTTGATCCCGCAGGCGCTCCATCCAGGTCTTGTGCGGAAAAGGAAGATGAGATTCCAGCTCGTCCAGTGCGGCGATCCTGCAGTGAAGCTAACGAGAATAGGAAGATTGCAAAGCGGCATTCATCCTCGAAGTTCTGGCCTTTGCATCGGCACCAGCATCACGACCACCATCGCTGCCGCCAACACTACTACCAGCACCACCAGCACCAGCGGCAGCGCCATCAAGACGTCCACCCATGTTGTTCGTTCGCCCGTCCTTAGAATTCGCAACATGTGCCTCCCTCTCAACAAACCCTTCCGTATGCCAAGAAGCCGGATCTCGGGTGCTTCCAGAGAGCCTTGCCGAGGAGGCATTTTGCAGCACTGTGGTCTCACCGCTACGCCCTACAATGATTCGCCTAAGCACCCGGCGGATCCGAAGGCGTTGAGCCGAACGCATCTTTAGAGTTCTCAGGCCCGTCCAATACGGAGGAATTGTCGGCCTCAGCTTGGGATAGACTCGGGCCTCGACTCACACATGACAGCAGCCACGCTCTTGGCTTCGGTGGAGAGGTGCTAATTGCCTTCTGGCCAAGCTGCAGAGCTAGTGCCTGGGTTCAGGCGCCTTGGCCCAAGTGTGGCAGGTTCTTCAAGTCTGTCTTAGGCTGACAAGTGCATGCTGTCTCTTAGGATTTCATGGGACTGACTCGGCTACACGGTAACACGCTTTCGACCCACACATTCGCCTGCCATCTCCCTCTTCTGCCTGTCCATCCTTGGATGCCTTGGATGGGCGGGCACAAGGCTGCCCGTAATCGAAACAGGGGCTTGCAGGGAGCAAGAAGAGGTGGAAGGAAGTCTTCCGTAGATCAACACACAAAACTCACTCCTAGCCCTAGCGGTCCCAGCAGAAGCCTGCAGTGGCTTCGCCTGGAGGCCAAGTGGCCGACCGATGCCCGTCACCATCCGTTCCGGAAGTACCACTCGGAGCGCCGACGCCGGAACCAGAGTTGCCGAAACCGCCCGAGCTTGAGTTCGGGCCCCGACCCGAGCCGTGACCCGGCCCGGGCCCAGATGGCGCTTGCAGCCCGGATTCTCCACCAGGAGCCCTGCAGGACACAAAAATCCTAAAAGCCCTCTTCTGGTCTGCAGGAGAATACACCTGAAGCCTGACACACCTTGTTTCTCGGATGACTTTCAATGCATGGCCCGCCTTGTGGCACTCGCAGATGTCTGCAATCCCTCTTCATCTGGCACAGCACTGTTAGACACTTCTGCTCCGGGGCTCAAGGTCGAACCGTCCTCATCAATAGCTCCCAGACGTTCACGCTGTTCCTGCGTTGGGCCTCGAGTGTCCTTGCCACCGCCGAGATCAGAAGAATAAGAAGCCTCGCCGGATTTGGCTCCATTGCCATTGGCTAACAGCTTGGCATCCGCATCCTCGCCCGGTGTCCCTTCTTTCACACCAGAGCCACCAGACGACTCGTAAATCTGCCCTCTACCATCACGCGAGCCGTCGCCGGCCTCAAATGCATTTTTGTCTGCTTTGACTGCATCGCTAGCTCACTGTGAACACACTTACCCGTAGAGCACCTGGTCCTGTGCCAACCGCCGCCTTGTAGTGGCATCGTCGTCAGAGTCACCGGAGGCAGATGAGCCATCGGCATGCTCCTGGCTTCTTTCGGTCAAGACCATCTGCCCAAATACATCGTTCAGCCTTAATCCTGAACACTCACTGACAGCATCAGGCCTCTGACGGTTAACTCCTCACCCCTACATTACATCACTTTTGCGGCAGGCTTTTGCTCATGTCTAGACAGTCTCACCGAGCTCTGCTCAAGTCAGACCCAAACTGCAGTCACCAAAAGCTCATTTAGCATGGCATGTAATTCACCTGCACATGCGTCACATGCACTCGCTCTCCCTCTCTCTCTCTCTCTCTCTCTCTCTCTCTCTCTTCTTCTTCCTTCAGGTTAAGGGAGCTGGTCAGGCTCCCCGGCCCATAGGGCCCCCCAGCGTTCCGGGGCTTTCGGGGAGACACTATACGTACCACAACACGTACCAAGAAGGGTTTTACACTGTACGTACCCAACGTTATCATGCGAGTCAGTCCCCCTGAAACAAAAAGGCAAAGTGACAGTAGGACAACCTTCAACAACTAGTTCACAGTGTGTGGGCCTGATCGCATCTGTGGGTTTGTGGTCCCCTTCTCAGCACTGCAGTTTTCGTGGGGCAGGGAGGAGCGCGTGAAAGGAAAAGTTTACATACAAAAGACGTACAGCAAAAGGCACTTCCCCCTTTCCACGGACATCGTCAAGTGCATGCATGGACACCATTCATGAGAGTCCCCCCTTCTTTACGACGACAAGCAATGTACACAATGTCATAACATCTGCAGCTACACCAAACATGTGGGGTCGACTGTTTGCATCGGACTCTCTTTACTTCTATCTGCTGGCAGCACACTGAGGCCCGAGCTGCTGGGGGGGCTACCCCCCGTCCACGCAAGCTGACTAGGAAGTTCAGTAGACCGATGAAGGTAACAACAACGACTGAAAAACTGTTCTCCCCCGGGCCTCCTATCAGGTGCAACTAGACAACTGTTCATTGGCAAAGGGAAGAGGTGTCAGTCACTTCGAGTCGTTCAAGGTAACCCACTACGAACCATTACGCAGACACCAGCTGTCATTCCCCTTGCGACAAGCTGCCAAAGAATGGATAGAAAGCAACGACATCTGAGGCCAGGGCATCAGGCTTAACGGAGGTGAGTTAGAAAACCACTGTCACGAGTATGGGAAGCAACAAATGCAGGGCTTCTTTCCCCTGGCCTCAGGGGGTTCTGTCATGGCTTCTGCCCACTACGATGTGGGCGGGATCCCCCTCTTCATTGTGGGTGCAATCAACCATCGAACAGGATATACACCAGCAGGCTGGTTACCAGGTATCAAGGGGGGGTCCCCAGTCGTACCGCTAGGCAACAGTTTGCAGCACAGGCTTTGGTAGGGGGAAGCTCTCAGTCACTTCGAGTCGTTCAAGGTATCCCACTAAGGACCAAAACCACTAGAACCCAGAGAACAGATCAAGAAACTTCCCCCGGGCCTTGTGTTGTCCCCTCTCACACATTTCGGAGAGGTCGTGGTGCGAGCTCACTCCCCCGCGTGCGCCGCCAACATGCGTCGCCGTCTGTGGCTGGCCGACGACGATCCACGTGAGGAACTTGATCTCGGTCGTCGCACACTGGCTCGTCTTGGTGAGGCGGCAGCTGCAGCGGGAAAACGGTTCACGTCCCCCGAGCCATGGTGCCGTTCGCTTTCCCACCAGTGTGTAGTCCACAAGGCACCCCCAGTGGGTTGTCCCCTGTCGTCGGGAGGGGTGCGACGTGCAATTCCCCTCACCAGCTGCATAGCCAGATCCTGGAAGAGCTGCAGCGCTTCCGTAGGCCAGGTGTCACTGTGCTGCAGTAGTCCCCGCAACGTGTCCAGGTCACTCGCCCATGCTGTCTCTGTCGGCCCTTGTCCCCCAGTGCTCGAGGAGTTGACTTGCTCCACCGACGGCAAGCTTCCATTTGCGCCGGGCTGGGCGTTTCCCCCGCTGAGCTGAAGTGCGCAGGGGGAGATAACTCTCTCCAGCGCTTCCGTCAGGGACACCAGGCTGCTCCACGCTGGGCTTGTCATCGTCCCCTCCAGAATCATGTTAAGGATCTCCCGGAGCGGCGTGAGCAGAGGTGGCAGTTGGGCATGTATTCTAACATCCCCCGTTGCCATCGTGTTTAACCACGTCACGATGACTCCAACATGAGGTGCGACATGGGCGTATGAGAGGTCGACATTGGGGTTGCTGCAGGAGGCCATGGCTAAACTACGCAAGTGTCTGATCCCCTGAACTGCTGCTGCTGCTGTGACGGCTACGTCCTGCACCTGTTGCTGTCCCCCGTGGAGGGGGGGCTCTGCACTCAGCTCCTCTGCTGTCTGCGTGTCAACGAGTAGGTTGAGTAGGGCATGTTCTGCCTGTACTTCTCTCTCGCCAGTCTGCAGATTGCGACCAGACTTCGCTCCACGTGTTGCCAGGAGCGGATGCTCTCTGCCCCCTCTCCCTCATGTGCAGTGTTGGGTTCTGCTATCGTCGTGGCTGTGCTAGCTGCCGGTTGCGTGAGGGTGGTGTCAGCATTGCCAAAGATGCTAGGGGTAGGTTCTCGCGGTGTCGGGTGCGGGAGACCGTGCTGCATCAAGAAGGTGGCATCCGGTTCGGGATCTGCTGGGTCCCCCGGTTGTTGGTTGTATTTGTCGTAGTTCTGTAGTGTTGTAGGTGCCGAGGCAGTGTCCTGGGCTCTGGGAAATGACGTTGTTGGAGCGGTGGTGGTAGTGGAGGTTGAGGTGGCTGGCTCACCCCATTCTGGTGGGGGTTGCTGCTGCGGTCGCTGTTGTTGCTGTCCTCGGCTGCTGCCATCACCACTGGGTTTCGGGATCTGTCTCCCGTCTCTCAGCCTCTGTGCAAGGGGGGTGGCAGCGGCGGGGCGGGCTGACGTGGAGGCGGTGGCTTGTGGTTGCAGTCGATTGGCCTGGCTCTGTCGCAGTGTCCTGCCGTCACTGAGCCCTGCTAGTGTGTTACCTCCCCCCCTGTCTTCCCAGCGGTCGGTTGTGCTAGTCTCTGGGTTCGTCCCCTGCTGTTGCTGGTGTTGTTGTGTTTTGGGCTTGGGGTAGTAGCTCACAGCTGGCTCGTGGGATGACTGTGCTGTCGAAGGCTGGTCCTCCGGGTGTGGGTCAACCACTTGCCAGGTTCCATCGCTCTCTCCCGCGCTGCTAGGGTTGGCTGTGGCCGGGTTCTCTGCCATGTCTGGTTGTGCCGGTTTGGGTTGGGGGCTTGTTTCCCCCTCGGTGTTGCTGCTGGAGGTCTGTGTGGTCGACTGTTTTGTGCTGGCCGCTGCTGTGGGCCTATCCGGCGTCAAGCTGCTGCTGCTGGCCTCTGCCGCGTTCCCCGTGTTTGCTGGTGTGGAGGAGCGACGCTGCCGTGCCAAAACTGTTTCCCGCAATCTGCGGGCCTTGTTGACAATGGGATCTTGGCTGTGTCCCAGGCTTTCCATGCGGATCATCCATCCATTCTCCTCGGTGTGCTCAAAGAGGAGCTTGTCGCCTTCGCCAAGTAGCATGGAGCCATGTTCTTGGTACAACGGTCCTGGGGCCTGTGTGACCAGGAAGACCCAATGTTGTGGGGACAGTGGCGCGAAAGTTCCCACCAGTCCGCATGTAAAGAAGGGGGCTGCGTTGGCTGTCCCCTGTTCCCCCGGCAGCACGGCTCTAAAGCGTCCAGCGGGAGGGGTCCCCTCCGAAGAGGGCTGCACTGTCAGCTGCCAGCATCCATGTGTGAGCTGGATGAGTTCACCTTGTGTCGCACCCGAGAGCGGTGCATCAGGGGGGAGGTTGTCGATGGCTGCCAAAGTCTCTGGTGAGTGTCCCCCTTGGGTGCACCATTCGTAGACCTCTTGTTCCACCGCACTCAGTGGTGCCAGGCTGTCCGGGTCTCCGCAGGCCGACTGGCCCGTTGCTGCTGCTACTCCGCTGCTGCTGGGCTGCCCTGGACTTACCGTCCCGCTCTCCTCTCGGTTGTTCTGGTGTTCCCCGAATGCCTCGGGTGGTGGGTTGACGTCGCCCCGTGCTGCGGTAGACGAGGTCGAGACTGTCTGCTGCTCTCTTGCAGGGTGGTTGTAGGTGTTGTGGACATGGGCGGAGGATTCTGCGGTAGTGGCTCGCCGCGGCTGTGGCTCCGGTGGGGTGTCTGCTGTGGGAGTCAGGCTGGGAGGAGTCTGCGGTGGGTCGTCGTGCTGGCATGTGTGGGTTGTTATCTGCCGGGGTGGCGTCTGCTGCCCCCTGTTGTATCTGCGTGGTTTGTCTGTCGCTCGCCTGGGCTGGGTTCCTGGTAGGCGGTGTGCCTGTGCGGGGGCCGATGGTCCCTCTTGGTAGTAGGTGTCTATTGAGGAGGTCAGCAAACTCCGTAGCTGCTTTGGCTTGCCTCTGCTGGTTGTGGGTGTCTGCCTTGGTTCCGCGGGCCGGCTCCGGGGGGGTTGTCGCTGCTGCGGCTGCTGTGGTGCCTCCCTCCTCTGGTGCCACGTTCTGGGGGTTGTAAAGTATCCCCCATCCGGGACCGTGTTGGTTCTGGGGAGGCGGGCGCCTCTGAAAGTTCCCAGCTTTGTTTTGTTGTTTGTAGATGTACTTGCGGGCTTTGTTCATGACTCGTTGTGAGCCATGACCTGCACTCGGCTCTCCTCTGCGCGAAGACTGGGGGGTGACGGTTCGGTAAGCCTTGGACGTCCCCCAGTCTTCGTCCCCCGATTGTGGCGGTTCTGGTGTGTCGTCGTCCTGCTGCCGCTGCTGGTGGTGGTGGCCTCCCCCTTGGTCGTCTCCAGCGGGGTTTGGTTGTTGGTCAGAGGGGCTTGTCTGTCCTCCCTCTGCCTGGTGGTCGAAGGTGTCAGCATCTCTGGAATGTTCGGCAGGTGTGGCTGTGGTTGCCTCTTGGGTTTGCTGGTCTGGGCGGGCTGGAGAGACCTCAGGGGCTGTTTCCGCCGTGGCAGACGGTTTGGGCGGGCCAAAGGAGACCGGTTTGGTGGCGGGATGGGCCGTGGCGTCCGCTGGAGTTTGAAGGGGGCTGCTTCTCTCTGCTCTCCGCTGTTGCTGGTGGGGAGGTGGTTGGTGGCGTTGACTCCTGCTATTTGTTGTCGGCGGCTGCTGAGGCTGCATCTGTGCTGTTGTGTGTGCTGTAGGCAGAGGGTTAATGCTGCTTGCCGCTGCTGTCGGGGTCGTTGGCATTTCCCACGGTGGTGGGATGTACGTCTCGGGTGGGATGTCACAGACCGGCGTGACACTCGCATCACGGGGACTTTGTGGCGGCGTGGGTTCGGAGGAATGCCATGGGTCTGTGTCTGGGTCGTAAGCCGGCGGGTATCGGACTGCATGGGGGCCATATCCTTGGGCTGCTGCAGGTCGCCGTGCTGTTGCTTGGGCTTGCTGGGAGGGGTACACAGGCCCTGGCGGGACCTGAGGTCGTGGCTGCGGCTGCGCTGGTCTCTGCTGCGGCTGCTGCTGCGAAGGCTGGTTCCAGGTTTGAGGCGGTGGGAGAGTGCGCGCTGCTTGTCCCCCAGTGGGGTGCGCAGGTCCTGCAGGACCCATGGCGTACGGTGGTGGTTGCAGTGCTTGTGCTACTGCTTGTCCCCCTGGTTGGCTGTATTGCAGTTGGAGGTTCTGCGGGGGCATGGTGGGCTGCCATCCCCCGGCTGCCTGCTGTGCCTGGGGGGTCAAGGTATAGCCTCCCCAACTAGTCACCGTTCCTCCATTAGCACTCGGGTGAGTAGCTGTCCAGGCGAATTGAGTGGGGGGGAGTGCCACATGTCCCCCCTGCGCGCCGTTGGTGGAGACCCATGGGGGTAGCCAGGGCATAGGCTGCATGGTCCCCCATTGGTTGGGGGGTGGGGCACTGGTGGCAAGCGGCAGAGCGTGCCCTGAGGGGAGCTGTTGGTGTTGGCCCCCCTGAAATGCTGGTACGTTGTGCGGTATTGTCCCCGACTGCTGCTGCTGGGCTGGCTGCACGGGAGTGGGGATGCTCTGGCCAGGTTGCTGTGCTTCGGTCGCTGGTTGTGTTGGCCCTCCGCTCTGTGGCTGTGCAGTGTTCGTATCTTGGGTCGCCTCGCCTGGTGCGTTGTGGGTCGGCGAGGGCTGCTGCAGGGGGTTGCCTGTTGCTGCCTGTCGTGGGTGCATACTGGCGACCAAGTGTGTCACTAGGAGCACTGTTAGCATCATGTTCTGCGATGCCTGTAACATTCCTCGTTGGCGTACGAGAAGGTGCGGCCCTGTTTGCACGAGTTGCGCTAGCACTGCAGAGTTGACTACACCACGGTCAGTAGGAAAGAGGATTAAAGGGCCCGACCAAAGTGGTATGTAGTAGGGGGTGCAGTTCATGTTGTACAGGAAGTCGATGAATCCCAGATGTACAGGGCGAGCACGTCGTACGAGGCAAAGGTAAACACAAAGGTACAAAGGTAAATCATGACCCCGACAAAGTCACATGTTTGTACATGTTCATGTTCATGTGGAAAAACATGATGAGCCAGAGTTGAGCCAAGACACCGAGGCAGGCCACGTCTGCTTCTTGCACAGCCCACATCTCGCACACTTCTCACATCCAACACAATGAGGCACTCCTAGGGTCTTGGCAAGTGTCATGTTCGGGCGTCCATGATCGGCTCGTACTGCATGCACAACAGGTTGCTCTCAAATTGCTGTTTGCGCCCAGCGGGGCGAGGGGCCAAGGCATGGTCTAAAGGCAGGAAAGCAGGCGGCAAGGTAGAATCTGCTCTCGTACATGTCTGCCTCTGTCCGACGGTTTTTTGGCACTCCAACTTCAAAGAGTAGCAGGCTTCGCCAGTAGGGACCTCCATCAGCTGCACAAGCTCGGCTGCGTCACTGTGGTCCCCTCCGTCGCTGACGTCTGGTCGGTCCCCCCTGAGGAGGTCCTTTAAGCATAGGCCGTCTCTCTCTCGCGGGGTTGCAGCTGTGCGAAGCGTTAGGTGCAAGGTTCAGGTCCTGGAGCTGGGCCTGTTCCCCGCTGGCCCATGGAATGTCGAATCTGTCCACGAAGACATCCTCGAGGTTGGACCATTCTATGCGATTCAGGGCTTTCTCATGCCATCTGTCCCCCGCAACGGCGACGATCTGGCGCTCAACGTCGAGGTGGGGGTTAAAGCGACGTGCATGCCGCTGTCCCCCCCAACTGGGGGGGATGCTCTGCTCGATGCGCCACCACTCCAAATTCCGCCATCGAAGCATAGCGGCCGCTACTGGGTCCCCCCGGACAACATGGCCTGCCAGGCTCCAGATCTGCTGCAAGATGAAGCTACTCCATCTGGGTATTTTGGCATTGAAAAGCGCTAGTCGAGCTCGCCGCATGCTTCGTACATGCCAATCAGCCCATAGTTCCCCTGGTTGGCGGGAGAGCTTGAGCATATTTCTAGCCTGTACTAGTTGCAAGCTGTTGGCCGCCCGCAGCACACTGTCGTTGCAGGGCCAAGTTTGGCAGGCCCATAGCGCCGACTGTCTGACCAATATGGTGCTCATCTGCAGTCGGCTTTTCAAAGGAGCGTTGGAGAGCAGTGTTCCCCGGTGTTTGCGGAAGGCATGTCTCCCCCTGGCTTGCATTTCCGCAATAATGGTGCTCGGGTGGCTCGAGAAACTCACGGGGCTGCCCTGGGTTCGGATAACATGATCTGGACCTTTACTGAGAACCTTCCGTCCCCCTCTCTCTCTCTCTCTCTCTCTCTCTCTCCCTCTCTCTCTACATCCCTCAAGCCTGAACCCTCCAACCCTAAACCCTAAACTCCTCCTAAACCTTAAACCCTAAACCCTAACAACACTGATTTCAGGTGTGCATGCGAGGGTTTGTCTCCTGGGAGCCGACAGCACCACGGCGCCGGCCGCCTCCCGCCTCGAGACTCGCGGACTCGCAGGGAAACTCTGTTTTTTGTCTGAGATTTTTCATGTGGGGTCTAGGGTTTTTGTCGGATATATTCGTTAGGGGTTGCTTTATTGCCTCCCACATTCGTTTAGGTATGGCTTCTGGAACGTCTTTTCCCTGAGCCAGGCGGTCACCCTGCTGGCCGTTTCGTGCAGGGAATTCCCACCCGCTTGGCTGACCAGGTCGCACTAGGGAGCATTGCAGTCAGGGCTTTGGGTTTAGGGCTTCGGCCCAACCGCTCAGGGGTCAGGATCTGATATTAGAGAAATAGACGAAACAACGACGATGAAAACCGCAAGACTATCCAAGACTAGAGCAATGGCAACTGTAGCCTATTGTCTACGGCAGAGTCTATGGCCTGTGGAGGATAATATGACAATCACGATAGTAGGAGCAATTGAATAACAAGAGGGGGAGGGTGGCACAGTATGCCTCACCACAGAACATCAAACAACGGAAAGGAATTTGATGGAATTTGCCCGGGCACTTCTTCCTGCATGTTCTTTTTCCTGTCCTTCAGCTGACGCAAGGCACACACACTCACACACACGCACACCCCCACACAAGCAACTGGGCTTCGGCCCTAGCCGATTACTTCATGAAAGATCTGCTTCTCGAAAGGCTGTATCTGGCTCTATCTGCTGTCCAATGGCCTGCAAAACCTGCATCACATTGCCGCCCAGGTTCGGTGCTGCCCGTGTCCTCAAGATTGGCGAGTTTAGCCATGGTCGAATCATCGAGCACCTCCCGAGAGTTGCTTAAGAGGTGCACATACAGAAACCAGAAACCAGGAAGGAACCCGTATCGTAACCCCGCCCCAAATATGGAGGCCCCTACATTGCTGTGGCCTCAAACCCTACACCCTGAACCCCTGATCCAGGAAGAAAGTGCCCTGAGAATGTGATTCCGGGCGGCCGCAGCAGCGACAACGCACCAGCGACGGGGTGGATCGGAGTCTGAGCCCTGCAAAGATGTGCCATTGCTTTGGGGAACGTGTGATGGATCCATGACACTAGGGGTGCCTTGCTGAGGGGTGCGCTTCTACTGAAAATTTTGCAATTTTGGGGTTCCCCATGCTTCGGAAACTCCCATGCTAGCTCACGGCGGGACAGCGTTTTTGTCCAGCTTGCTTTACGGAGCCTCCTCATCCCACCGTCGTCGTTCCCGTGGCGCTGAAGAAGGCTGCAGCCGGTGCAACTCTGCCAGATGACTCAAGGCGGCCTGGATGCTGTAGTCGGCTTCAAGCAAATGCGCTGAGGACGTCTGCCCGAGGTACTTCTTGAAGAAAGAGTTCCAAGCCTGCTCTGTCAATGCTCCGATGGGCTTCTTGGAGGCTCGACTTACCATGCTGAAGAGCTTGGAGGCAGGAATGCCACACAGCTCCTCGACGTCGAGCTTCATCGCATCCAGTGCAGCATCGAACTGAGATCTTGTCACTTCGCTTCGGTCGTGACTGTCGAAGGCTTCAAAGGCCTTCGTCAAGGACCCGTAAGCATCTACAAGCCGCTCTGCAAAAACCTCAATGTTCTTGATCTCTTCGATTCTCTCGGGCGGTTTTACCGGTGTTCTGGCAATGGCACGCCTCATCCTTGACTCCGAAGTTTGCGGCTCCGTCGGCTTCGGTGGCTCCGACGACATCGAGGTCATGTCAGGTCCGGGCTCTTCAGAAGCCCCTACCGTCATCTCAGGCTCGTTTGTCACCTTCGCTGTTCCTTGCGGCTGGTTGCCCCCCTGCAAGCTTTGCATCATAGTCTGTACAGCATCTTGGAACGCGGGGGAGAAGCCGTCTGACTCACGGACGGGCTCAAGCTCTGGACTCACAGAGAGCACGGGTGATCCGGCCTTCAAAGGATCTTCTCCACCCACATTTCTGCTGCCAGGTACTGCCGGCAATGCCAGCTTGCCAGTCGCGGGCTTCTGCGGACGGGTACGATTGGCATCCGGCAAGACAGAGTCAAGGGCGAATACCTTGTTGCCAGCCTTCGGGTTAAAGAGGCTTTGCAAGCCTCCACGATTCTTAAAATCGGTTTGCAACGCCATGGACCAGAAGTGCCAGAAGCATCCGGCGAGGACCAGGATGGTTCATGGCTCCGACTTGCGGGATCTGCTGCTCTGCAGTCTTCTTCTGCGACGCTTTGTTTCGGCCAGTGCTACTTGCAGCCTGAAGCTGTAAATTCGCAGCTTCTGTGCTGCAGGATGTAGCGGGCAACTGCATGACCAACCGAGCCTTGCTAAGCTCCTCAACCTGCCTTACCCCATACCCTCTCATGCCAAACCTGTTCTCAGTGTCTGATCAAAAACGGGCGAGGCAAAGATAGGCAAAGCTCCGTCAAACGAACGGAAGCTGCAGGACACGAGACTGAAAGTCATCAGGACATATCATGGCCTTCACTATGGACGATTACGGCCTTGTCAAACTGGTATGGCTCAGCACGCTTACTATGCTGTCAAGAGCACATCCTGCAAGAGCCGCTCCAACACTTGCGTGCTTTGCCGATGCTGCCAGGGCCGCTGCCTCAGGCCTATGAAGCCTCAGGGTGTTGAGAAGTCACACCTTTGAAACCCCCTGCGGGACGCGCAAAAATGCTCAGCCACCGGGCGAGGGAATTCTCGGTACCTTGGCTGCGACAGGGAAGCCGTGCACGAGGTCCAGACCAAATCGAAAAACGGTGAGCAGCCGAAGCTGAGGAAGCGGCCCTCAAAGAAGTAGATCAGTGAAACCACGAAGTAAGTTACGAGGAGTATGTAGCCCTGGCACGGGCATCTGTACATTCCAGCATGGACTTGCGGTGCTTTCGGAGACTTATCGAGATATTGCGAGAAGCAAAAAAAACCTGACCACAGTGAAGAAATTGTAGTCCAGACGTGAAGTCCCAGGCCCCTTTGGGCAAGTCCTGGGAGCCAGAATTGTTTTCTGCATGGCCTCCAACCAGTTGGACTGGCCATTGTTCAAAATGGAGTTGACCAGGAAGACCGAGAATAGAAGTACCTTAGCAGTGACGATGTGGGGCAGGTGCTTTGACCAGCTGCCCGCTGGCCAGTGTCTGAGCACCCAGGCAGCAAGTTGGAAAGCGTGAAAGTTCAAGGTCATCTCTGTGCCTTAGATTCAGTTGCAGCATGCAGCTCTCAAGTTGAGGAAATGCATCGCAGGCTTTTCGGATGGTTGGGCACCCAACCATAGCACCATCCCACCAAGACAGTGAAAGGTGTCACCTTGGAGTTGCACCATGGGTTTCTGCTGTGTGTCATGGGCGCTCATGCAAAGCAGTCCTTTTTGCCATTTCGACTACCGAGTCCAGCTTAGCGTGCGACAGTCCGTATGTATCCGCCTACAACTCAGGCGCCGGGCGAGTAGAGCCATCTGGCATGACGACCCTGCAGCTACCTTGGTAGAGTGACCACAGTCAACATCAGGAACCAAGGACCCAATGATCCGGTGAAGCAGCATGAGGCAGCCACACCAAGGGACAGGTCCATTTTGTTCTGCATAGCTACCTGCCACACACACGCGCACATGCCGCATGTCTGGGTGGGCAGCGCAATGCTCTTGCGAGAAGGTTGGCAGCTTGACTTTGATTGCAGTGTAGTGCTCAGCAGCGTTACCAATTATGGGCAGCAAGATAATGCCAATGAACCTCGGTCAAACATGTCGAATCTGGACGACAACACTCCGTGCAACTCAGGCAGAACCAAGCTTGGTACTCTTTGGACACTTTCCACTCATCAATCGTCCCCTGTCGTGTTGCAGAATTCACGTAACACTTTCCCAGACTCTATTTTATCTATTGTGCTGTGACATCACTTGCCCACTCCTGCCTTGATGGCTTCAATGAGGGCATCGGTTGCATAGGACGTAACAACGGTGCAAACCTGTAGCTGCAAGAGGAGGATATGTGCATCAGCGAGAGCAGAACGAGGACATTCTGCTGAGGAAGTGGCCAGCAGCAAAATTGCTGCTGTAACTGGGCTCAGGTCGGGCTCCTCTTCCTGAGGTGGATGGGACGGACTCGGTAGACGGTTTGGGATTTATGGAGTTGTAGGTTTTAAGGGGCTTTGCTAGGGGATATAGGGTTTATAAGGCATATTAGAATCAAAGCCACACCGCCCTGCAAACTTCTCAATATCAAACAAAGAGATTTTCTGGGGTCTGTTTTCTTAGCCAACCCGATATTAGATCCAGTGCATAGCATAGTTTTCTGTTCAGCATACAAGGATCGAATCTTAACACAGGGCAAGCGCAGAGGGAGGAAATGCCCCTACTGGCTAGAAGTGGTTACTTCGAGACATTACCCACAAATATGGCAGGACCACAGCGCCCTCTTTGGAGCTAACTTTAAGTACGTCACTCTTTTGAGACTGCTACAGGGAGCTTCAGAGAAGGCGCCAAAGCGCGCGCAGAGTTCGTGCGCACGGCCATAGCAAAACAAAATTAGAATCCAAGTAAACAGGAGCAGAGCTCCTCCTCGCCCTCGCCTTCGCCTTCGTCCTGAGAAGAACAGGTCTTCCGCACAGTTTTACGAAGCGCCGGAGGCTTCTTTGTCTGTCCTGGAAGAGGCTTGCGTGCGTTTTTAGCTGGAACACCAAATACCTGGCAGGACACACAGAGACACAGCAGTTTCGATGATAGAGCAACTGAGACCCTCGCGCAAAATAGACGCCGAGGAGGCACACCGAAGCCTCAGAACTGTGCTCGTGACATCTTTTCGATCCTTGCATTCATGCGGTAGCTGCTGATCTCTCGGGTGGAGGCCCATCTTGACACCTCCACCATGTGCTCCCACTCAGACTCCTGTGGCTGCCAGATTTTGCGCCGACTCCACTGCTTGCAGAAGCATCGACATGTAAGCTCGGACTGTAGCCTGCTTGAGCACGTTGACATAGATCGTCGGCAAACCAATTGCGAAAACGCTCAGGGCCTCAGAGTATCTCTTGTGCAAGTTAGGACCGGGTACCCTCACAAGACTCCCAAGACAGCGGCCATCAAAGAGCATTGCGTGGCAGCCCCGGCCTCGACGGGAGTCATTGGTTCACTCCGGGCCCCTCTCTGTGGGGTGAAGACCGGCCTGATTATACCGTTGGATCGGATAGTACAGGCCACCAAAGAGGAAGGCACAGCCTTGGACACGGCTGTTGGAAGCCAAGACAAGTAGCACCAGATGATACCCTTTCAACCCTTTCTCACTGCAGTCTCAGTCTGTTGGGCAGCTGGCCCATTACCAGCAATAGGTTGCTGAGGATAGACCTGATAACGCAGCATCATCATATGCACTGGTCGTGCGACGGGAGGAGTCTGAGCTCCCGAACCCAAGCAGCGTGCATTGGACAACCTGTGGCTCTAGGGGCTCGCATGGCTCGCGATGTTCGCTCGACTTGACTGCGAATGCTTCAGGTGCCGTCAAGCAACGCTGATTTCGTTGTTGCGAATTCCGGCCTGACCACCAAAAAGCACAACCCAAACCACCTCTGCAAAATCTGGGGGCTGCACAATGCAGAGCAGCATCTCGACCTTGCACTGATGCGGCTTTCAGCACCAGACCCAAAAAACGCACAGCAACTCGTTGTCTGTCGGTCCCAGGCCACATTGCCAAAGGTTGCATTCAAAAGACCACCAGCCGTCTCCCCTATCCTGGCGGCCACATCCTGACCGGAGAAGCTAGAGGCTCAAGGCTGAAGCGGAGACCGGCCTTCAAGGCTTGCCTCTGTGGCTTTCCCTATGAGCCAGGCCAGTGGGATGATCGCGAGAAAGTTGAAGGAGAACACCTTGGCAGGAGATTTCTTTGGAGGGAAAGATGAAGTTGGGACTTCACTTGGGCGCCGGGCATAAGTGTCGGCCCAGTGCAGCTGGTGTGCCATGAGCCCCAGCGGAACAAAGACTAACCTGAGCACACGACTGCAGGATCCTGCTAGTCAGCCCTCTGATCATGCATGGGGCCCCCTGGACCATCATGGGGCTGCGACAGGCTCGTAAGAATCTTGTTGTCGCCGAAAATGGTAGCAAAGCCCTTGGCACAAGTTGCAATGCAGCTTTCAGCCTGAGTGTTTTGCTACGCAGCCTCAAGATCGTTCTTCTCCTTCTTCTTGTCGTCTTCAGTCCCTCATGCTTCCGCCGGTTGCAGACAAAATGTTGCAGCATTCAGCCCTTGCAACACGCAAGCGAACTGCGAGGCCCGAGCCACTCCTTTTGTCACACTCGAAGGGGCAGGTTGAAACAAGCTGGTAGCCACCCTGCCTCCTAAGACGAGGCTCTGATCACAACCATGGCATCCAGCATCCATCGTGACTCTAGGTTGGCCCTACATGGCAGCTAAGTAGCGACTCAAGCTTTGAGCTTGTTCGCCGCAGCTCTTTCTGAGCCTGCCAAGACTATCGCAGCTGCCCCAGCAATTTCCGCGAAATGAGCTCCGCGAGGACACGCCTGCATCTGCGATGCCATGGTGGCGTCCAAGTCGAGGCCTGCCGCTATGGAGATAACCATGTCCCTGCTTCACTCGCTCGCCCTAACTCCCCATACCTCTATGGCAGAATGTGCCTCTGCCGAGAGGACCTGTGCATGTGCAGGGCCGAGCCCGACCTGACAGAAGCCGAGCGAACGGAAAGCAAAGGTGGGAGAAAACTGCGCAGGCAAATGAAACAGCCCCGCCTTCTTGGTAATGACTTAGATGAAACCCGAACCTCCGCAGTTCAAGAACAATCCGAAGCCCAAAAATACACCCTACGAGAACTGTCCCATGACAACGGGGTCTGCCGGCCTGGATGCCAAGGATCAGCGGCGCAGCGGCGAAAAGGCAGATGGCGCAACCGGTCTTGACCAATTTCTTGCAATGAGAACTGCTAGTCACGGTAGAGGCTTGCGCTGGCTTCACGGCTTCTGTCAGCTTCATACCTAGAGAAATCTAGTGCAGTACACCTCAGCTCCTCCGCCCTTGCACTATTGTATTTACGCACGTCTTCCCTGAAATTGCAGCGGCAAAGGCATGGCTCAAGTTCAAAGAGGGATCGCAGCAAGAAGAACCAACTTTCGGAACGCTATGGCCGATAGTGCAAATGACGTGTCTGTTTGCAACAAAGACGACTCAGAAGTCCTGCTTGGAGGAATGACAGGTATAATCATGTGTTGGACGTGAGACTCAAAGACCTTGGCTTGCCAAGGCCCTGATCTGTGATTCCCAGCTTCGCCCACGGAGTCTTCACTCAGCATAACTGCCAGCATGCGAAGCTGGGGCCAGCTAGGCGATGTCAGATGGTGCATCCTGGCCACTGGCGGCCGCTGCTATCTCGGCAACCACACTGCGATCTCGGAACGAAAACGATGAACCCGGTGGGGACTTTAGGTGAGGCACGCATCCACCAGCGTCCAGATTCGGTCTAGGCCTGCTCGCTCGACAATGGCAGAATCCGGTAGTGCCAGGAGGTTGAGATTAAGATCACTGATCGTGAGGTCATTCTCCCAGTACCGTGCTCGCGCGCATCTCCGTTCAACATTGCACCAGAATCTTCCGGATGCCTCCTCCGCCGCCTCGTGTCATGACAACCTCGGAGCTGAAGGAAGCTGCTGCGCTATTGGCATGCAGACTACTCCCTGATACCCTGCCCTCTGCCACTGCCAAGTGAGCAGAAAAAGGCCGAGCGAAGCGGAGGGTGAGGAGCTGCTGAGTCACGCAAGTGGCATAGATTGAGCGAGGCGAGGAGTGAGACAACGAAAAGGCGTGAGAGTGAAGGAGCCACTGATGGTTTCGGACCCGCCTCACCCCTACTGAGAAGGTTCCTAAGATGTGAACTGTTCGAGCGCTCCACACCTCCTATGACACAAACCAAAGATAAATAGACACGAGCCTTGCAATGGTATGTTCACAAAAAATCTTTTGATTGATGTTTGACGTAGAAGCTGCGACTTTGCCCTCAACATCCCTCGATGACCTGGCTACGACAGGGCCCCGGCTCGGCCCACCGCATCTGCCGGAAAAGCTCTCGTGGGCCTGCTGCAAGCTTGAAGGTATTTGTGGTTGACCTCCAGACTTGCGATTCAGCACACCCTGCAGCACGGACAAAGAAGAGTAACCCAGCATGGGATAAGTTGCTCTGTGCTGCTGTGTTTGATTGGCACTCAGTTCTGCAGTTTCTCCTCCCAGATCACTCACATCCTGACTCGTCCCAACACACACAGCGATGTGCACCTCCAGCAGGGTTTCGCCTGTGGCGGCTGCAGCGGCGCGGCTTCGAGTCGTCGTATGACCTTGAAACGTTCTCAAGAGGACACGGCTGGCCCCAGAACCTGGACCTGGAATTGAGAATCTGAATCCTGGCTCGAGTGCTTTTCTTGCATGGTAGCCAGCTGTTGTGGCCACATGGGCGAGGACCCAGCTACAAGCGCTCACCAACCATAGCCTTTGCCATATCCTTTCCAAGGTGGGGGAATCATGCCCATCCAGGGATCGTAGCCTCCGTAGCCGCCTTTTCCAGCCATGTCCCAATAATCCCAACCACCCTTCCCCCAGCCTTTGTCCCAGCCTTTGCCATAGCCCGGATCAGCATATGTCATGGAGCTCATCTGCTGTGCCTGCTGGCCTGCTGAGCCGAGGAGCATCACGTCCCTTGCTGAGGGCCCTTTTCCTTCCTCCTGCACCTTGAACTTGCACTGGCCACCTATGGGTCCGTAACCTGCCGGAAGCTCCGACTTCAGCACGAAGATGTCTTTGCCCGGGAAGGCCTCGCAAGTAATGAAGCCATAACCTCGGCAACAAGCACATGGCCTCTGGAGCCCGTACGCAGGCGATTAAAGATCAGCCGATTGGCCGCCGCTTAGGCCGGAACCCTTGTTGGGGTTGAAGCTTTTGATCTGCCCGAAGTAGCTGAGCTCTTCCGGAGAACCGAGGACTGTCACGTTCGTGGCCTCTTTAGAACTTTAGAAGAAGGCTCTTTTGGAGGCGCAGAGTCTCTGCTTACCGCAACGTGCCCTCGGCCGCCTGGGCTCCCTTCTCAGACTGGGTCACCTCAAACTGCACCTGATTCCCCTTCGATGGACAATAGCCCTTCAGATCCTTCTTGTTCACAAAGGTGTCTTGTCCATTGCATTCAATGAACCCCCAACCTTTGCGTTGCACGATGCGCGATCATAATTGCAAGGCTTCCTGCTCTCACAAGACTCCACTTCTGAGCCGAGAAGCCCTTGTGAGGATTGTAAGACTTGATGGTGCCGGTCTGCATGGCTTGAAGGTGCTATGGACGGCTACCCAGTTCTATACACAATGCCTGGGCGGCTTGTCAGTGGCCTTATCGCTTGAAACATCTCGAGCCCAACGATCAAGTTCGTATCGACAGTGGTCAGGTTCTGGAAGAGCTCTGGAACCAGGCGACCACTAAGACCGTGGAATGTGGCATTCAAACAAGCATGCCTTTTCGGACCGTGCACGCACTTAAGCTGCATCAGTCTTCGCTATGCGCTAGAGCCTACAGGGCACAATTCCTGGAACAGGAACCCACAAGACGTATGCTGGGGTTCAGAGTGAATTCACTTCCCCCAGCCCTTGCCCCAGCCTTTCCCCCAGTCCATGAAGGGCATAGGATACCCTCCATAGCCCATCCAAGATCTCATCTGTTGAGCTTGATTCCCAGCAGCTCCAAGAAGCTGGACCTGCTTCGCCGCCGGCCCCTTCTCTTCCTTCGTGACCTTGAACTTGCAGTGGCCACCTTCGGGGCCAAAACCTGCGGAGGATCTCAGAACGGTCGATCCCCTGATTCTAACTAAGACTGAGACCCCCCAGGCCATTTGAGCTATCGTTGTGTCCCCACCTTGTGGCAGCTCCGACTTCAACACGAACACGTCTTGTTCAGGGAAGGCTTCGCAGGAGATGAAACCATATCCCTTGACCTTGGCATCCGTGCTTGCAACTGGCACGGTCATCAGCAACTGCATCTTTGGGGCGATCACAGGATTAAAGCGCTTGATTTCACCCAAGTAGGACGCCTCATGCAACTGACAGTTCATAACTCAGTTCATGCGGAACTTCAGAGAGAATGCCATGCGAGATCGGCTAAGTTTTCGCCTCCTCGGCGGACACCTGGACTGTCACCTCCGTTGCCACCGTACCCTTCTCTGACGGCTCGACTTTGAAGGAAACCGGATCACCAGCCTGGGTAATGGGCGGAAACAGGCACCAGCTGCGGCGTACACACTCTAGAAATGTCAGCGACTGTCTGCAAGACAAGGCGCTGATGGGCACTGCCCCTTCAGCTCTTTTTTGTGTAGGAAGCTGTCCTGGCCATTGCACTCCACAAAGCCCCAACCTCGTGGATTGGCACCAAAGTCTTGCAAGTCAGATGCTTCTGGACGCTCTCTCTCTCCTGCTATGATTCACGACCCGCTGCGGCCAAGTTGCCCTTGTGGGGATTGTATGACTTCACGGTTCCCGTCTGCATTGGGCTGAGCCGGCAGATTGGTGGGGCCCCTGCTAACACTCGAGCCGAAACCAGCGAGAGAAGTTCGGGAGGACACGAAAACGAGAAGATGCGAGAAGCGCAACTAATCAGTTCACGGCGCTGGAGCAGAATGGAGCAGTGAAAAACTCAGCTCGGTGCTGGGACTGCTGCCCCCGCACCGCTCTCAACTTGTCTGCAACTCCTTCCGTTGCCAGCAAGCTCGCAGTCTGAGTATGTCTGAGTCATGCAGATCTCGCCTTTAGCTGATTTCCGTTCAATCTTTCCAGTTTCCCCCAGCCTCCTCGGATGGAGCTGCCCTGGTTGACTCACCTTTCTTTTCCATGGCCTGGCAAAGGCATCGTGCAGCCGATCTGCAACGCACAGTGTCGCCGACACGACAAAGGAGGGACGAAGTGTTGAGGTCGCTGAAGAAGCCTGGCAAACGCCTGTATGCCTGAGTGACCGCCCCCATCTGCTGGCGCGCGCTGTACTGTACATCAGTCAAGCTTTCTTACCCGACCCGTATAGGTTCATGTTATGTGGCTCCAGCTGCGCAACGTATGCGAAAGAGCTGAGCACCGGAAACTGTATAGCTCAGGCTTCAGCGCGAAAGCAATACCCCAACACAAATGAATGAGCCTGTATGCCACGGACCGGAATGGCGGCCATCTGCAGCAGGTGTACTGAAACTTCAGCGGTGTGCGACGGCTGCACGGTGTTCCGTTTTAGTCAGGCCTCCGGCTTCACATCTTTACTCCTGAACTGTCCTGGACCCTGACTCTGACTATAGGGCCCGAAGGCAGTTCCACGATATGGCGGCGGCAAGCATGCCTAAGGCGCAGCATGGATGGCAGCAATAGCTTTCGCAAGATGTGACTTGGGCTATCCTATCTCCGTGATCGACAGAGAGCGTTTTTCCGGGTCAAGGCAGTCTGTTCGCAGCGCGCCCGACCCAGTAAAAGCTGCTTGTACAGGAGTTGGGTCTCCACAGAGAGAAAAGGCAGACTAGCTCACGCCTTGGTTTGTGAGACTAAATTACAAGCACACCTAAATGTGCCATGGCAAATTCAGCGGTAAAGCCGCCGCTCTGCGGCACTCAGCGCTTGCTCGCAGATTCTCCGCTTTGGATCTGGTTGAGAAGCCTCAGCGACTATAGTTTTCTCCACATTTAGGCATGCTGCCTGCAGGGTCTTCGAACTCCTTAGTGACTTAGTGCGACCGGGCCACTGCTGATTTGTCAGCAGCAGTCGCTGCATCTCGGAGCTTAATCGATCAACCTGGTGTTCATTCTGAGGGATGTTGCATGCTGCCACAAGTCCACACGACAACAGTCAACTTCCTTCCCTGCCTGCTCATGTAAGACTTTACTTTCTTCGGCCATGATCTTGATCTCGTCCTTTCCGCCGGACATGTCAAGGGCTGCGAATCTCGTGCAGCCTCGCACACCGTACACATTTTTGTCTCTTGCAAAAAAAACTCCTGCAGGAATTGGATGCTCTGCTCTGCTGTCGCCTGGCCCAGGACTACAAAAGCGGCACTGACCGACTCTTACCGAGGAGGTCTCACCTCTGCGATCTTTGGTCCGTTGTGCTCCAAAGCCTGCAGGACTTGCCACAAGCCAGCGCGCTTCGACACAGCGAAGCCACATCTTGATTCTCGTCAGTGATGGCCTCCTGCACCGCCTGCTTCAACTCACCGGTCGTCCATGCATTCGTCAACCGTTCGCGCACATGACGAAGCTGGCTGGCATCACCTTCGCCTCGGGACCGCTTGAAAGGTCACACGACGCTGTCGGCATGAACACGGGATCCCACATCGCTCCTGCCTAATCCCCCACTTTCCGTCTGCTCGTCCGCTACAAGCGGAGTTGGGCCGATTTTCTGCCCATCCCCGGGTTGACCTCAAGTGGTCTTCAGCTCTGACATGAGAAGCAACGGGGAAACGCAGCGCGGAACAATCTGATGTGCTCGGTACGCAGCCAAGCTGTTGCGAGCTCAGCTCACAAGAGCACGCGCGAGAGCGGAATAGGTTCTGCAAGCCCGTGCAGGTCATGTGACAAGATGGCTAAGGCATAGTGCCGCGTAACACATGCTTCCTGGCCAGTTCCGCTGTCCTGCAAGATCTCTTCCAAGACTCCGTTCTTGCCAGCCTTGAGAAGGACCTGCGCATGCCCAAGGTTCAAGGGATGGTGGATTTCTAGCACAGAATCAGAAAATCATCGCAAGCTCCCTGGGTATCCGGGCAGTCTGTAAACGAATGCGGGACGCCTCCTGACACGCTAACCAACGAAGCTACAAGGGCAAGGGATATCTTGCTAGCGGCTTGCTAAGATCCGCACTTCCTCTGAGTGCGCAGTCAAGGCAGTGGTATCCTCTGCCAGCGCCTCTCGCTGGGTGCTGTGGGTCTCAGCTTGTGCCCCGGGGGCTGCATCCTGCCAGGCCGCTACAGGCACTGGCGCGGGCTCGGTGAGCTCTGCAGGCGCAGACGGGGGAACTGCGGCCGGAGTTTGGTGCGTTTGGTGGTCACTGCCGGCCCTGCTGCCCAGAAGGTGGAATGGATTTCCCTGGGCAGATTGGCAGATAGACAACACATCCACAAACTGGAAACAAGGCTGTCTGCAGGCCACTCCGAGGGTTCGGCCGGCGGCGGCTGCGGCGACACCGGAAAGTCCTGTTGTGGCCTCAAGGATTCGCAGTTGCAAGAGCCTGGGCAAACCTGTCACGGGCTCCACAACACGCCTTTTCTGGGGCGCCTTCCCCGCATTGTCCTTTGTACACTACTGGCCAGCTTTTGTGGCCATGTTCGCATGCCTGGCACCTGCTACAGGGCCACAGCCTGTGCTATGCTACCATGGAATCAACAGCCATCGCAACGGCCGTTTCCGTCCTTCCCGTTTCTCCACCAGTTTCAGCTGTAGCCGAAGCCCTTACCCCATCCCTTCCCCCAGCCCATCCAAGATCTCATCTGCTCGGCGGCTCCCAGCAGCTGGACCTGCTTCGCCGCAGGCCCCTTCTCCTCCTTTGCGACCTTGAACTTGCAACGGCCTCCCTCTGGGCCAAAACCTGCCAAGATCTGCCAAGAACGAGATCTTTGATCCAAGCATTTTGCCACTCCGACCTTGTGGCAGCTCGGACTTCAGCACAAACACATCTTGCTCAGGGAATGCTTCGCAGGAGATGAAACCATATCCCTTGACCTTGGGCAGACAAATTCATGAGATTGGGGACGAAGCGGTCGGTGAACAGCAAGCACTTGGATTTCGAGGCGACCGCAGGATTGAAGCGCTTGATTTCACCAGCATAGAAGGCCTCTCTAACAATGGCTCACAAGCGAGATCATTCAGATGCAGAGGCACTTCCAAGAGAGTGCCACATGATATGGGGGTTTCCGAAAATAGGGGACCCTAATACGGTACCCTAAATAGTAGGATCCTTCTTATAAGGACCCCAAAATAAGGTACCCTAATTATCGGAAACTCCCATAATTATTAATAATGACT